CGATCAGTGCTGTGAGCGTCCAGGCACGCCATTATCGATCTGGTAGGTTCGATCTTCTGCCTGGTCCATGTTTGCGTCACGAAGCCCACCCCGCTACACGCGCGAGTCGACCCCTGTAATCCTCTGCTGTGAGTGTGAGAGAGGCTGATGGGTTCAGGTTATAGGAGAAAATGAGTAGTCCCACTTGTTGATAGAGGAAGGGTCGGTTGTGTGTGTGCGCGCGCGCGCGCGTGTGTGTGTGTGTGTGTGGGGAGGGGGGGGAGGTCCTTCTCTTGGGAGGGAGTATTTCTGTTTTTGTTTTGTTTTGTTTTGTTTTGTTTTGCTTTAAAGTTTTTAAAAAACCCGCCATTTGGTGCTGGAGAAAATCAAGACTGACAGAAACAAATGAAGGATACAGAAGAAAATAGGACCTGTCAGTAGCGCCCTCCAACAACCTGTCGAGAATCTGAGTATGCAGCCCATGATGTATGTTCGCATATGTCCAACGTACGTTCTAAAAGACGCAAGCATACATATAATCTATGTGCAAAGATCTAATTTGTAAGCCAGAGAACATAATTCAACTCGTGATTGCACTTGGCAATTTCACAATTAGGATAAATCATGATCTACCACCATAACGAATGTAATAAATTCTTTCTTACAGGTACCAGTAAAGAAGAAAGAAAGACAGAAGGCAGAGCCGATAAACCACAAGAAACCTGACATTTTATAAGGAACTTTCACGCATTATAATATACTATATAGGCGCCTACATACGATCATTCGTTCTATTGCACTGAGGGGTCTGCTGGTCAGTAAGTTAATTTTTTTAAACTCTCATCCTACCGGAAAGAGGGAGGGGAAGGGTATTCTCGGTACACTTTGCTGGGCTCACGCGCGCGCGCGCAGAGAGAGAGAGAAAGAGAGAGAGAGAGAGAGAGAGAGAGAGAGAGAGAGAGAGAGAGAGAGAGAAAGAGAGAGAGAGAGAGAGAGAGAGAGAGAGAGAGAGAGACCAAGTTTTTCGCAGAACAAAATAATGACGTATAGGTAAAGATGTACGTTTTGGAGGCGGACAAGCTGCTTGCTGGTGGGAATGATGGATGGGATCAGAAATAAAAGTGAATAATAATACTCTCTCTCTCTCTCTCTCTCTACCACTCATTTTTTTTTGGTAGTTTTTTTGTATTTTTTGTATTTTTTAATTTTTAAATTTTTTTTTTTTGGGGGGGGGGTTGTTATGTACGCACTTTTGTCACACAATTTAGATCTTTGAGGAGCGGGTTTCAATCCTGCTTGTCAGGGCCAACCTGGGCTGAGAGGGGTAAAGCATCACAGCAGAAAGACCGAGATATTCGATATAAAAAAATTTTCCGCATAGAAATCGGTCTTCTGTGTGCAACGGCGAAGCGCCTAGCCGCTACAAAAAAAAAATAATAAAAAACTTAAAGAGGAAAAAAAGTCGGTATATTGCTCTATTATGCTGTAAGACAGAATTCACAAAGAAAATATACACTTGAAGACAGAAAACGACTGTCACTGGTTCACAATGTCCCCGGGGTTTTATGCCCCCTGTATAATTTAGCAAAATTTGATCCTTTTTTTTGCATAATTTCTGATTATTTTCCTTTATCATTCTTTGTTAAAATTAACAGAATCGCATAATTTCACATTTTCGGGCTCAGTTTGCATAATTTCAGATTTTTTTTGTGTGTGCATAAAACCACGGGGACAGGGCTGATTGGCAGGTGATCATTCTGGTGTGGCTGCTCCTTCTTTTTCTCTCAGACATTTATCGTCCTCATTTAATCTTTGGCACTTGTACGACCTATTTATGCTGCACGTGCCATAAAACTATTACTAAAATCAAAACAGTGTAGGCGGTTTGCAGCACTCATTATACGCCCCCCCCCCCCTCCAAACCCACAACCATATTGCAGCAATTGCACCAGTGATACCGCCTGTGCAGTCTAGATCACAGAACAAGGTCCCGCCCATCTGTTTTAAAGTAATTAAAGTCCTGGAATTGGATCTGCCACTTAGGCCTACCCTACAATGGGTGAATGTTCGAAGTACTCATAGAACAAGAAGCCTACTTGGCTGTGAGATCCTCGTGTTTATTTGTCTTCGTCTGTTTGAACAACAGTCTATAGGACAGAGACTCTGGACATTAGTCTTCTTTAGCACTCCATATAGCAGAAGGTTGAAAGACTCACTCCATAGGTCTCTTGTCTTTCCTTCTATTTTAGAAAATTTCGAACAGATTCAAAATTTTTGTTATATATATGCACATATGTAAATAGCAACCCCCAAAAAAATGCTATTGAAAGAAAGTTTATTAAATGTCAACAGAGATCAAATATAATTTTAAATGCAAGACATCACAGTCCAAAAAATAATGAAAACCTGTGTGTTATTTCAGTACACATAACAATAAAAAACACAGAAAACAAAAGACAGTGCAGTCATAACACAGAGTGTCGTCATAATTCTCTGACATTCTAACACTAGATCTCAGGGGAAGTTGACAATAGTTCTCCAACTCCTATACCCCTTTCTTTTTAAATAATTAAAAAGTATATAAGGCTGTTTTTCCTTCTAGGTAAAATGAGAACAAAATGTCCCTCACCATTTATGCATCAACATGCTGTTGTACATTATTTGTAATTACTACTAACATTGACTTTGATGACTTTTGGGGAGAGATTATTTCAGAATTTTATTGAAGGAAAAGCTGTGCTCATCAACTGACTATGCCTGAACAAACCTGGATCCAAACCAGCTGCATGAGAAGCAAGAGCCATTTTAAAGATAATACTGATCTGTGAACACAAAGTGCCCAAAAAGTCCACAAAATACTCTGTCATTGCATAATAAACTTACACTGCTATGTATGCAAAAGAAATGAAAAATCCGTACGAAACATTCTCTAATGGGGCTGGACTTCTCAGACACACTTTTCAAACAAAGGGAAAAAAATGTGCTTTATTGCGGTGGTAGGTCATAACAGGCATAATATCCCCCTTCCACAACATTTAGTTTATTAAACACACACAAGAAGCTTCTTCAACATTGTCTGTCCACGCCAACCTTGCCTGGTGGTAGACATGTCAGCAATTCCAGCACAGACACAAACATTTTTTTATTTTTTTATTTTTTTTCTTACTTGTCGTGTGATTGCAGAAGTCAGTCCCAAAGATTTCCTGTTTAACCTCATGAATTATATCTATGAATTCCAAAGACAAGTAATGGTGAATTATAGCTACTCAACAGACATCAACAGATTTTAACAGTATTGCAAATTATGTTCACAAAAAGAAAACCAGATGCTAGGACAAATATACAGAAGTATAATCCCCACATTTTTAATGAAAGAAGCTTTTAAATGCAAGATCTCAAAACTGCTGGAAGGAAGTCCCAGCAATTTTAAAAAAGTTCTAGTCGGGAAGGAGGGAAAAACACAGACCAATAGAAAAGAAAAAAAAACATGTACCAAAATTTTTCAGAAAGACCCAAGGCAGAGAGAACAAAAAGAAATGTCCCAACAAGAAAAAAATCTGGTGAAGTTCTAGTTCTATGGAAACAAAAGGCATTGGATGTGCCAATCCAATATATTGTATAAATATGACATGCTCCTGGTTTAATCTTTTGATTGTCTCAAATCATATACACAAGAGGGAAATGAAGCGAATAAGATAATCACAAAGGAAAAATTGAAGTCAGAAAAAAAAAAAGAAAAAAGTAATCTTAGCAGACATGTTTTTGAAAGTGTTTTTGTTACAAATGATATGAAACTTTATTAACTTTGCAAATGCCATGCATGAAAGAGAGAGATTTTCTTCACATACTTACGTCTCTAAACTAGTTAAGCAAATAAAACCCAACAAACATTTAGATCAAATACATGTTTATCCATTACTAACGTTAACAACGATAATGTAAAACAAAAATGTTTGCTGCAACAATAGAGAATAAAAAGAGTCATAATCTTTTGTTTTTCTGGACTAAACACTAACCTTGTACATGTAAGAGGGTCACATCTTGGAGTAGTAGGATCTCTGAACCTTCTAAATGGAGTGCAAGAAAAGAGTTGACAACACATCAGAAATAGGGTGACAAAAGCAACAGTATCATAGGAACAACAATTCTGGAAAATTTCATATTTCCTATAATCCAGAGGCTTTCTAGACAGTGTACGTCTTCTAACCACTGGGCCACTGGTATTAAAGCTCAGATATTGCTATATACTTGTAACCTGTATGTGATGAAATTAAAATGTGAAGTCTACTCACACATTACAACCATACTCTGCACAAAGACAACGCGCGCATGTGGCCTTATTATTAAAGAGGGGGGGGGGGGGGAAGCATGTTTGTTATTAACTTGAATAATACACACACACACCATGCACACGCAACAAACATTAACGTAACAAATTATCACAGAAATGGATATGGCTACGCTTGTATGTGATGACAACCTTATAAGCCATTAGCTGTAGCTTAAAGCTTTAACAGAGGGTATCAACAGAAATACAGAAAGGTGAACCAGAAAAGACAAATATATTGATAGTATCTTTATATTTCTATGAATATCAACACTTGATCATTGGGTTTTGGAGAAAAAAGTTTTAAAAATGGATATCACTGAGAAAAACATCTTCAGGTATCCCAATACAAATATCATTCTTCAGTGGATCTTTTCAACAGCAGCAAAAAAAAAAAAAAAAAAAAAAAACCTAAAAAAATCCCCAAGCCTTTAATAACTTGAACACGGCCACCAGCAAAAAAATATACAGGTATGATCTTTCTGGGCCAGTACTGGATGCAAACAAGAATTTTTCAGTACTTTCTACATATTGTAAAGCTATCTTGTCCTTCACCTCGTACACAACATCCTGATATTCGTGATACAAAACCTGTGTAGAAAAGCTTTATCGTCTTGCCTGCGCAAATTCTTAACAGAACAAAAGTGGGGCAAGAACACATGATTCACAACTCTACAACAGCAATGATTAAGCTTTTGCAAACTAAAACTTACATTACAAAATAGATTTTAAAAAAGAACACCACAATGTTTAATGCCCCTGACAGTCTTCAAAATGCAAACATTGCTCATCCAGCTTTAAGATGGAATCCACAAAGAGAGAGAGAAAAACAGAGAAAAACCTGAAAGTAAATTGGAGGAGGGACCTGGACTCCCATCAACAGGAGATGAGGTACAGCTGGACAGAGGTGGAGGCTTTAGCCCATGACAGAAGTAGTAATAGAGAGCTCTTGTTAGTCACTTATGCTCCAGCATGGAAAAAGAAAGGCTGATGGTGATGATGATAAGTCTTCTAGAATAATTTGAGACAAAACCCAGCAGGAATTAAGAATAGTAAACCCCCTGCCCCAAACACGCTCCCATAAAACAAAAACCATAAGCATTATTACAAATCCAGCCAAACTTAATCATAAATCAGTAAAACACATACTGAAACCGTAGTTAATGACAGGGGGGGGAAAAGTTGCTCTAATGTCTAAGATACATCTTTATCAACTACACTTGAAAACAGAGCGAATTATGTAGAATGACACAGCTCTATTCACTTCAAAAACTTACTTCAGAGGACTATGTTTAAATTGCTTAGAAGCACAATTTCAAGAGCATGACTTTTGAAATTATATGGATTTTTGCTATTTTACCGTCCATAAATCGTCACCATAGCAAAAACAGTAAAAGCACATTGCGGTCTCTGTAATATCAATGTCCACGCAGAAGGAACACAGGTATCCTGAGTACTTCTGACAAACAGTAACAAAGTTGAATGAGCTAAAGTTTCTGAAAACAAAAGTCTATTGACCTGCTCATAGAAAAGCCAGCCATATGGCCCATCATGAGAGCCATAAACATAAGCAATCAACTTCCTGCTTTGCAGATATCGAAAAGTTTAATCTTAACAAGCATCTAGAAAAAGAACACACATTAAAATGAGGCACCACGCCATCACCAAACTGATTAGGGCACACCACAATTAATCTAATTACTGATTTTTTTAATTTGAAAAAAAAAAAAAAAAGAGAGAGCAAACAGACACTAAATCAGTTTGGTGCTTAAAGCACATCCTTGTCCTTGATCATCAGTGGTAGTGATACTGAGTTCTGTGTCTTTCCCGCTCCTATTTGGGGTGAGTGACATTTGGAGCAGGGACAAACGAAGGCTCCAGTGTCTGGACACTCATCTTTGGCGTGTAGATGCCGGGCCTGGCAGGGAACCGAACTCCCGCCACTTCAATTTCATACTTGGCGCTGCGGTTGAGGACCCATTCATTGATGTTGCGCTGTGTAGAAAGGTTCCCATCCTCATCCATATCACCAATGAAGCCAAGGCACACCATCTTCTCAAGGGTGAAACTGGGATCAAAATCAAAATGATCAAAAGAAGTTTAGCAGGGCTAGCGAAGCACATAACATTGCAAGACTTGTCAGATCCCCTTCCCTCCCCTCCCCTTTGATTCTTTTGGCTTTTGGTAACCCTCAAACCACCCCCCCCCTCTCCAACACCCTCCCAAACTCCTTAAAAAAAGCAAACAAAAAAACCCAACAACCCAAGGTTATTCAAAGCATACATGCTAAAGCATGGTTCATAGTCAAAAAAGATTTTTTTCTTTAAAATCCCACAAAATTCCTGTAAAAAACTCAGGGTAATTCTATCCATCCATACCCTTGATACTGAACTTATTGCTGTAATGACACAGATAGGCATAGACTTTTTGAGGAAGTTCTCATCTTCTCTGTTTAAAAAAAATTGTAATTGAAGTTTTATGAACGCAGCAACACAATCAATACAATTCAAGAGTCTGGGAACCATTGTTGGCTGCATAGAATAATGAACAGCTATTTTAGGACTAAACTGGTGAAAAAATAGACCACCATCTCAAAGGCACCCTCAACAGACTCTTTCAGTTTTACATCTTCTTCCCCCTTAACCCCCGATCAGAAATACCCAATATGTACAACGTTGAGTCTCACCCGTAGCTACATGTGGTCGTCATGCCGACAAACTTGCCGTCCCGGTAGATGGGCTCTCCTCCCCAGGGCCAGAGGTCTTGATGTACGTCGAAGTCGTCCAACACAAACTGCGTGAACCTGCGCTTGACGCCGAGCTTCCGCTGCTGTAGCAACGCTTCTTTGCCGATGAAATTGTCATTTTCCTGCCATAAAACAACATGACTAAGTCATCTGCACAAAACAAGGGAAAATAACCCAAGATTCGGTTCCTTCTAATCCACACATGACAAATCAAAAACGAGTAAAATTTTTTAAGTTTTAGTAAGAATTTTACTGCACTTGCAACACAATAAGGTCATATAAGTGCCAAAGATTAGAGGTATTACAAGAGAGTAACAAACACAAAAAAGAAGGAGGGGAGATCAGGACAATAGATGTTTGATAGGAAAGAAGGAGCAAACGACACCAGAGCACCCGTCAACCACCCACGAGTAAAGTTTTTCCCATAATAATTTAGTGACTGATGAAAGCATATTAACCCTATCCATACACCTGGGGTCATTTTGTACCTCAGAAGTTGTATTCTTCACATTTAAGAATATATCTAGTGCAAAGATCTCTTTGAAACTTTTAGTATTTCTCAAAAAAATCATTTTGACAGACTGCTATGCAAAGCGTACGGATCAGATTAACGAGTAAATTTCCTATTTGGAAAGTGGGGGCACAGATTTCCTCACGTCGCATGAATACGATAGTAAAACATGGCAAACGAATCGGGTTAAAATACACAATACATCAAAAAGGAGATTACTGAACAAAATCCCTCAGCTAGTATAAAAAGAAATAAGAATATATTTGTTCTCTGGGTCAGGTGCACAGAAAATACAATGATGAGAATAAATGTGGCTTTAAAGTTTGTTTCATATCAGGAGCTTCTTGCTTCTCAGTTGACAAACAAACAATACAACAGAGCCATATCAAATGCGTCTAATAACTCACTTCCAGTTTTGTTCTGAAACCTCGTCCACATTCAAGAGGAGTCGTCTTGTCATCCAAGTCGAGACCCCAGAAAGCAAAAAAGTTTTCTATCCGCAGATGGCGCAAAGCGTAGTAGCCTGCATTGCGTATACCGTAGTCCTTTCCAGCAGTCATGAGTGTATCATACACGTGAAGAGCATACTGGAAGCAATGAGAAAGTGTTAGTTTTAGTAAGAGTTGAGTGGCATTTGCAACACAAATAGATCATATACATGCTGAAGACGAGAGGTGTTACTAAAGAGAAACGTACAAAGAAAAGAATTCAAAGAGATAAAGATGATAAATGTTGGAAAGGAAAGAAGGTGCAGACCAAAAATTTTACAGGCCTACGTGTTCTGTGACATTCTATTTTCCCATAAACCAACTGAAGAACATGGTTGTTACACTGAATTTATAGGGTCCAAGCCCAAGGCACAAATATTTACGCACATCATGTGACATTTTATTCAATTCAATTCAATGCCTACATGATTTAACTCCTATGCATGATTGTTAGGTGGATAAAATATAGCTGGAGGCTATAGAACTGTCAATGTCATGCAATACATTATACAAAAGGAAAATATTTGCAATTATCTCAATTTTCTCACTACTTATAGCCAAAGAAATTGAGTGAAGGCAGCCCCATTATCTTACGAGCTTTATGGCAGCAGAGAAATTTTAACTGCTCCCACCATCTTGACTGGAAATTTTAATAAATCCACACACAAAAATAACTCTTTATCCACATTAAAGACAACGATAGTGTTTGGCGGAGGTCTAAAACAGTACTTTTCCTGTTGGATTGCTTCTCACAATAGCAGGGGGGTGGTGGGGGGATGGTGAAAAGAAGCACTGAGTTATCCTCATGAAACATTAGATCCACTGAGCACTCATGTATGAGAAAATGTTAGGATAAACTTACCAAAACATGTTTAAATATTCAGTTTTACGGATATGTCAGCATATATCGACAATTAGGTACACGTTAGAGTGCTCATTTCAAAAGTTATGTTTATGGTCTGAATATTCACTTCTGAGGTTATGTATATCTGAATATTCATTTAAGAGGGTATGTATATGTCTGAATATTTACTTCTGAGGGTATGTAAGTATGTCTGAGTATTCTTGTCCGAGTACTAACTTCTGAAAGTATATATATATATATATATATATATATGTCTGAACGTTCACTTCTGAGGGTACGTACATATGTCAGAGGGTATACATAAGTGTCACGATGCGGTGGAATCAGGCACTCATCAAATTTTGGGTATGGGGAGTTATTGGTTTCACCTAAAAGCTTATTCATCTGCCTTTTTTTCTATGAAAGAAATATTCATTTATCTTGAATAGAAGTTGAGAGGTTTGTCATTGAAGGAGGTGGGGGTAGCCTGGTCTCAGAGGTAGAATTCGTGAGAAACTGGCCACCAAAGTCTGGTAACTTCTATAGCTTGAGAGTCCTTGAAAACTATAAATTTACATATTTTGTGCCATTAATCTACAATATTCAGTAAAATTCAAATGGAAATGTTTTTTTTAAGGACACAAAAGATGTTGAGCCAAAAAAAGAAAAGAAAAAAAAATTGTCCAACTGTCAGAAAAAAGCCAGTTTCCTTAATTTAATTCTTTTGAAGAGCCCCTGATTTCACCACCATGCCTCACAAATGTGTAAGTACTCTTCCTAAATTTGGCACTCATATGACCTTATGCAGTTGCGAGCGCCGTAAAACCTCTACTAAAGGTACAAAAAAAAGTACTCTCCCTACATCCGACGTTTACACTTGGGAACTCACCTCCGAGGGTATGTACAGAATGAAACCGTCCTCCCCAGTGTGCGTCAGCCTCATGGCACGGACGCTACTGGCATGCCCGACGTCGATGATGTTCACCGACATCGGGCGGAAGTCAGTTTTGTTGGTGGTGATGTCCCCCACGTCGGCCAGAAGCTGGTGAGCATGAGGTCCGATGATGTTGATGCCAGAGAACATGGAAGTGGCGTCCGTAACCTGCACAGAGCCGTCGGCCGGAAGGTGGCTGTTGAGCCAGGCGATGGCTCGAGTTTGCTGGGTGGCTGGGCAGATGATGAAGTAACTGGAGGGGGAGGGAGGAGGGCCAGAGAGACAGACAGAAAGTGGGGGAAGGTGAGAGAGGAAAGGGGAGGGAGAGAGAGGAAGAGGGAGGGAGGGAGGGGGGGGGGGAGGAGAGAGAGAGAGAGAGAGAGAGAGAGAGAGAGAGAGAGAGAGAGAGAGAGAGAGAGAGAGAGAGATTATTTTACTTCCTTTAGAGTTTACAAAGTAACCATTTAGAATACTAACTTCCAAGCTTTCTACAACCTCTATCCCTGATGCAAATGAACTTTCTATAGGAAGCTAAAATGACTAATAATGATCTTTCTTACATCGACATGGCCTAACACTGTAGGGTTTTTGGAAAAGCAAATTACAGAATGTAGATTTTAAAATGTGTTCATGAAAATATAGATAAAGATGAAAGTAAGACTGAGAATGATTTGAAGACATTGGTCTTAAAAAGAGGAGAAAAAAAAACAGCCTCCCTGTCCTGTAATAACGAGGTGACCCAGAAACAAAACTGACAAGCCTTTACCACACAGAAAAGAAACAATATCAAGTACAATGGATACTAGAATCTTGGACGGGTTATGAGCTTCAAAATCTCTTCAGAAAATTTATATTTAAGATTCAAATCACAAAGGTAAACTCAGTTTTATAACTCTGGAAGACAACCTTCAGACAATTAGTTATCATTACCTCACCAAACATCTTGCATCTCATGGAAATCTATCAATGTAATGTACTCTGCTACACTGTAAACTTATAAATATCTACCAAACACAACAGAGGGCTAAAATTTCATGAACAGTGCAAATATTCACCGATTTTCCTCCAGTCGTAAACAACCGATACAATGTACTCAGCGACAATGTGCATTTTTAGATTTCTACCAAACTCTGAGGATGGCTAAAATTTTATAAACAGTGCAAAGAACTCACTGATTCTCCTCCAGTCGAGCAACTGTGCAGTCGTTCTCAAACCCACCATCCTCATTCTGCATGCCAGTGTGGACGATTGACCCTATCTCCGTGTCGATGTTGTTGGAACAGAGGTACTGGAGAAAATCTGTTGCTTCGTTTCCCACAGACTGAGTACAAGAAACGAAACAAGATGATAACTGTTTAGAGTGCGTAAAAACAAATTACAGCTTTTGTGTTGTCTCATACTAGGCTAGAGATATTGTTATCTCAGCCTAGATATTGTTTAGACAAAGAAAAATTAGAAATGAAGAAAATATTTAATAAAATATGTCATACCTCTCTTATTGATCCCGACGGGTGCAAATCATCACAAGATGTGAATTTATCCATTTCTGCCAAACCAATGCAACAAAGCCTGGTGAAATCAAGCAACTAAATCGGGAAATCAGAAAGTGGGTCCTCAGTAGATTTTCAGCAATTTGGCCAGCGATCTAAATTCCTCTAACTCAGAAGTAATTAAACAACAAAGCGTAACTTGGCAGCCTTTAACCTGCTCTAACGGCCACCTGTATATGACAATCAACCGTACAAATGGCCACTTTTCATTTACCCCCTCGCGTTTTTTCAACATTATAATGACATTATGCAAGACGTACACCATTACAAGACAGCCACTTTTCTCCTCGCCAATGGGTGATCATCTGTGAAAGTTTCAACTGTAGTTGCAAGCTCATTTCACAACTCACCCTGACTTCAAACTTGGCAAAGGAGGACATGTCCATGAGGCAGACGCGCTCCTTGCAGGCCCAATACTCCTCCTGCACCGGCTCAAACCAGCACGGCTTTGACCATGTCCACATCTTCCCACGTTCTTTGCCAAACGAGTCATCTGAAGGAAAACGCAATAACAAAATTTATTTGTCTCCAAACAGGAACTTTATTTACACTACGTACAACACAAGTGAATATCTGTGTTTCACACACAGAAGTATGCATGCACACGTTCTTTCTCTCTTTCTTTCTTCCTCTATCCCTCCCCTCACTTTTCTTAACCCCTCTCTTCTAAAGACCCACCCACTCACTAAAATGATCTAAAAGAGTGTGTGTGGGGGGGGGGGGGGGGGGGGGGGGGGGGGGGGGGAAAAGATTTCACTCACTCAGTATCATGTGCATTTTGCAATCAAGTGAGCCCAGAAATCAATTATTTGGTATTTTCTTATGAACAGTGAAATTGTAGAGCAATTTATAGACCCTTTTGAGAAGACTTGTACCAACCTTGCCCGTCAGCATCAACCTAGGCTGAGTGGGATAGAACAGTCAAACAGACAGACAGAAATACTCCATAAAATAACTTCCCGATGCAGAAACCTAGCCCACATCTTCTGCATGAAATGGCAAAGAGCTTAACACCTACACCACATATGCCTGCCACAAAAATTGTGAGAAAACATAGATCGCACAACAATTTTACCATCTGGGTTGTTGAAATACATGGCGCGCTCGTAAGCCATAGTCTCTCCAAACACAGCTCCTGCCACCTCGAGCCTAGTGTGAAGGGGAGAGCAGCGGAGCTTGCGGCCTGTGGTGTACTCCTCTCTGGGATACTTCAGCAGGTAGTGATTGACTGACAAAGTGAAAAAAAAAAGAAGATAAAGTCAAACATTTTCATAAAACACATAACAATAGACAATAAGTTCTACAGCCGTTCTACTTTATTTTCTTTAAGTAATTAATATGAAAGACAGGACTACTTTGTGGTGATAAGGAATGGTAAGTTTGTAAAATATTATGTGGACATATTAACTCATTTGTTACCCCGAGCCCTGGGCAGTGGCTCGGCTAAAGTGAGTTCACTACGGCAAGCCACCCCTGACGGCTCGAGAACCCACCTATAATTCTACCTCAGATTATATTCCAATCCACATATCCATGTTAAAATAAACAAATATAACGATGACTTCCAGGTCAAGCGTTTCCACCAAAAATCGGAAGTTTTGATTAAGTTTTGAAACACGATTTCGAAGTTTATGCGACCTTGTTTTATCGCGATGCCCAAATTATAGCCCAGACACCAGTCTTAGTACTTTTACACAACAAAATGTATCATTATTTTGCTTACTAAAGACATGTAGGACTTTTTTTTAGAATATTGATACAATAGGACTAAAATTGCCATTGCTCTGTAATTGAGAAAACAATATTTTTCAGTGCTAGATCTAAATCTAAATTGTCAAAATATTTTTTTCTTCCCAAAATCACTATTTTTTGGTGAAATTACAAAAAAAGTACCTCTCAAGACATGTGTAGGTTTATGCCAAATGCAATTCTGAATAATTCCATACAAAATACGAGTGTTTTTTCTGTTTGTGGAATGCATCTTGTTCTTTTTTCAAGGTTAAAAAAATATTTTTTTTTTTTTCAATATTGGATGTTACTATCCAAATGAGCAAATTTTGTGAAATGTACGTATATAATAGCAAATTTTTCAATATTTTCCAGTTCTATATTCATTTATGGTTATTTTAAAGTATCATTTGACTAGGTGCAAAATTATATTTTTTGAGTTTCACCACAGATGATTAATTTTTTGTTTTCAAATTTTAACTGCATCCAAGCAAAACTCTGTTGCAGAATCGCCTTTTACAGGAACCAAAGTTGAAAAATACACAAATAAACATCACAGATGTATTCTACAAAATCTTGCTAAAAATTCCGGGTATAATATGTTGATATTTTTTAGATTTTGTGGCCTCAGAGACCTTTGAACTGCGCACTAGTCATCATCTCATTTCGCCCTCCCGAAAAAAATTCGTCGACAAGCCCAAAAAAATACGTAGCGAATGAGTTAAGTCATGTTACAATGTATGAAATGTAGTATGTGAAGTATGTTGTGTATGCAGGCCACCGTAGAACCACTTTTCCTCATGGCGATAAATAAAAGTGGTAATTTTTTTTGTCCTTCTTCCATCCTATTCCAACATGATTCCAGCTGAACTAATTGCAAATCTGTAAGGTCATCTGAAGCAAGAAAACCAGAAAGTTTCTTGAAGAGACAAGCTACAAAATGAATCTTAATTCTTTAAAGGTGTGGTTGTTACATATGTCTGATAGGCAGCAGACCAAGAGCAATGTTGCAGCACACATACAAGAAACATGAATGTGCATATTTCACACAATGCATGTTGCTGCTAGTACTTTTCAGTTTTAGATAAAGAAAACAAAAGAAAAAACTGTATGAGTAAGGCAGTTTTGCCTCTTTTTTAAAGTGCTCCAAAACAATGCATCTCTAAGCGTCATAGAATGACCAAAATGTGCACCCTCAATTAGTTCGAAGACCTACCGCAGTTTAAAGTAAAATTTTCAGACGATCTAGAGTTTGTGATTACTATGATGTAAGACATTCTGCTAAGCATCAAACTGGATATGATATATTTAAAGTTTTGATCATTTGAACTTAAACAGCCTTGCAAAAATGACCTCTCTCCAATCTTTTCTGTACACAATGTACCGGTATTTAAGGAGAGACTTCCAACTCATCTCACAGTTAATTTTGAATTTTAAAGTAGAGTGGTATATATCTCTTGCTGAATATTTCTTGGAATGGTGTAGAGAGTGATTAATAGGAACATAAAAATGCCAATCATTTGAACGATAGCTGTATCATTCTATATTTTTTTCATATGCATCCGATCTGAATTTTTACTTCCAGTGTTTCAAAACATAACTGTTTCCACCTTGAGGGCCATTTATAAAATGTACGTCTTCTTTAAAAGAAAGGGGAAAACTTTTTTACCAATAAAAAGACAGGGGCAACGACTAAAAGAAAAACAACTCCATACCTAAGGCCTCACTCATGCGATCTCTAAGGAACTTTTTGTTATTGTGAAGTCGCACAAATCTCCGCACATCATACGGCCAGAGATTGAGACTCGTCTTCCCATCTACGATCCACTCCGCAATGTTTTTCCCTACTCCTCCCCCTCCTACGATGCCCGTGGAGTTCATGCCGGCAGCTATAAAGTAGTTGTCCACCTGTATGTTCAGAGAATACATAAAAAATCTGTTCTTACTGCAGTGTAAAGTCACAGACTCCTCATGACTTGCCCATGAAAGTATTACAAGCAGTCACCAGGCAGATAAAATGGAACAACAACATTGTAAATCCTTTTTACTGCTTTGAATTGTCATAGGACAAAACCTTCACGTTTAAAGACAACATATTCGAAATGCAACTGTCAATTTCAGCATACAAATATGATAAAACTTTATGAACCGTGCAACTCTTTTCAAAATGAAGGCATGAAAAAGTAAAGTGCAAGACAAATTCTATTTCAACAGACCTAAACCATTCCATTAAAAATATACTCTCTACAACACCTGTACCAACAACAAATGAAATAGCAGAAAATATTTTCATAAAACACAGACCTTAGGGGACTTTCCTAGTAGCCATCTTGAATCTGGGGTGAAACTCTCTGGCCCATTGATCAGCTGTCTTACTTCAGCCGTAGACAGCAAAGGCATCCGATGGACAATATTGTCCAGGAGAAATTCTGTGATAAATACGTTTATTATTATAAAATGGTACTTATTGGGTGAGGTAAACAAGTCTGATACAGAATTTTTTTTAGATCACTGTTTGGAAATAGAACATGAAAAAGAATGTAAAAGTAACAAAGTTGAGAGAGCACAAAGTATTTTTAAGAAACAGAAACTATAAGAAAATCTAGTCTAACATATAAAACACATTTAAAAAACAATATTTCTACAAAATAGGGGTGGGATTTTAGATAAAGATATGTTGTCAATGCTTTGGAAAATACTCTAAATATATCTTAAGAATTTTTTTCAAAATAAAACGTGAACTGCTGTTTTAAAGATTTATTTTGCACAACAGGGTACCAGCTAGATTACGAAATCGATACCCCAAAACAGAAGTTAAGTGCCAATCCCCTAAAATGAGGGACCAAAAAGTCACTTAAGGTGAACTAGGTACAGCTGAAATGAAAATTTTTGTTTGGGCTCTAAATTAAGTGTACTGGGATTCCCAATAACCAGTATGGGTCAAGAAACAAAAACACACTATCCCTATATGATTTCACTGTCAATTTTTTGAATTTTTAAGATGCAAAGGGTTCGACAGACCAAAATTCGCGCAAATTGTTGGCAGGGATTCTGAAAAAGACTGAATTGATACAGCCTTGATATTGTCACACAGAGTTTGTGTATATACAACCTGCAACGTACTAAAGATTTACTTTCCTAAGTCTCATACTTTTCTTGTAACTGCCCTTTTAGTGTCATATACGATACTTGGACAAAAAAATGATCACAAATCAGAGTTATGCTGCCAATCTTTTTAACACTGACGGAAGACTTATTACAATATCACAATAATCTTTTAGTACGTTGCAAACATATTATTTAAAAACAGTCATGCAAAGTGGGATTCAGCTGCGACAAGTACTTTTAGAAATATCTCTGCCAAGGTGACCCACCCCCCTAAGAAAATCATAGTTTTTAGAAAACTTTAAAAAACACGAATTCATACCATTCTATTACCACACAATGTTAAAATACATGGCATATGTGAGCACTTTATAGATGTTTTGGACACTTGAAAATATTTCCAATCGATAAAGCAGATGTTGCTCTACTAAAATAGTCCAAAATCGAAAAATCGGTTTTGGATACCAAAATCGACTTTTTAGGCTGCCGTGGTGTACCTTAAGTGGCAACCTGGAAACAAAGACTTAAAAGAAAGCCATTTTCTAGGATGGATGCCATTTAAAAAAAATTAAAGTTGTTTTATTTCATTGAAAACTGTTTACTTCAATGAAAGCCCTTTCCTTAAATAAAAGCCATGTCCTTAAATGAAAGCTATTTACTTAAATGAAAGCTGTTTTCTTCAATGAATGCTGTTTCCTTAAATGAAAGCCATTTACTTACGAAAATGATCCCAATCCTCCTGAAGGAGTTGGAATTCAAATTTATCTGGAATGCCCTTGTGGAAGCAGGGTACAGCATTGGGTTCAAAACCTCCAGCCAACATACCACCATTCCATTCTCTAAAATATGTGTGGCCATCATAGTCTCTAACCACTGAAAAATACAAATTCACAGTAAGAGAAAACATTGTTTTAAAATTCACAGAAAAACAAAACAATAGATCAGCAACAAAATACAACAAAAAATTGTATGAAAAGGTGCATATAAATTATCACAACATGCACTTTTAATGATTCTCAGAAAAAAAAGGCAGACAATGAAATTCCACTATACGTCTTCCATGAATCTTAATTGTCATTACTTGTAACATGTACTCTTAAAGTACATATGAAAACATAAACAGCTGACGTAAAAAAATAGACCTCTCTCTTCCAATTCGCAAAAAAACAAACAAGTATTGTCTATTTTAGCAGGTAGCAAAATGTGAAACATTTGACAGATGCATCTGAAACATTGAATTAGGAATGAGCAGGGTGGACGACTGTGAAGAGTGTTAGAGTGAAGTTATGCGAGTCTTCAGGTGGATACCCAACTATAAATACCTTAAATCTAGCTTAAACTTTTAACATTTCATAGTTCAAAATTACCTGGCATCATGCGTTCAATGCCCTCCTGCGGTTTTGTAACCAGGTAATAATGCTCACAGGAATGTAGTGGGGCTTTGACTCCTTTAGGCTTCGTCTTTTTACCCACAGCTCTGGCCCACTGGAACAGAATGGAACAGAGAGAACCTTCTTTTAGTGTTCTTCACCATACCTTCTCATGGTGCTCATATGACCTTATGCAGTTGCGAGTGCCGTAAAACCTCTACTAAAACAAAATACCTTCTCAGAGAATACAGAATACAAGGAGGGATCCTTATTCCAGTCTGGATGTGAAAAATGCAGAAAGACTAACCACAAGAAAAATATTAGTATTGTTATTTAATAACTCTGTCTCAAGGAAACCAGTGACTATAATGAAGCTATATCACCATGTTGAAAAACTCTACCCTCTACAAACCCCTTACCTCAGACCTTCCTTCTGCTCACCATAATGCCTCTCTCTTCTCTCTCTCTCTCTCTCCCTCCCTCCCTCTTCCTCTCTTTTATTTTCTTACCATTGACTTGAGCTCACACTGCCACATCTGGACTACCTGGTAACTAACCAACAGACCCCATTTGTACCCCCTCCTTGGTATGTATATACACAGTGCCTTTTACTGCTTTTAGTTCTAGTCTTACTCGCTCCTAAAGAAGCCATCCAGGTGAAACGCCGAGCCATTTCAATCAACAATAATTTTTCATTTCTATAGGTTGGCTAAAAATTACTCAAGACTCTCCCTCCTTCCTTTGGATTTTTTTTTACAATGATAGCTCTGTCCCATGATGTAGTCTTTAAGGCATTTAAACAGTATTCTGGGCTTAGCAATTATACCCTCTATTGTCTCATGAAAGGTACATTGGGAGAATATATCGATATTTAAAAACCTGTCTATCATCACAGCATTCACAGCTGTGTGTTAAGATGTTATTCGAAGAAGCTGAAATCTATTGCTTTACTTCCACCTTCATGTGTACCGGCATACAGCTCTCAGATTCAGGACTACGTCAAACAAAAAGGCAATAAATGAAAATGAAGAATGCAAGAAAGCTGTTAAAGCTAGTGTTTTCTTTCACAGCTAAACAACAAAATACTTGGTTAAGATTTTGCTTTGATGAGTAGTTTCTAAGATCAATTGTTACAACAGCCTTTTTTATTACTGAATTTTGAGAGAGAAGCACTGCCAGACAAGTAGACAAATGAAGCTTATATAAAGACAAAGACCAATTCTGGTGCCCAGACAGGGTTATGTAATGTGCAGTAAAACAGAGTAAACCCCTTCTCAAATCCGCTCGCAGCACAGAAAGCCACTCATGCCCCATGACTTGCTTTGCATCCCATGACTTGCTTTGTGTACCATGACTTGCTTGTAGCCTAGCAAGCCCCTTGTGCCAGCAGCGAGCAGCAAGACCGCTCGCAGTGTTAACTCTGAACCGTGGAGGAAGGGAGAGGCTGTGCTTGTTTGGTGCAAGACGTAGAGAGCCGAAGCTATTTTTAACTTCCCACCCTTGATCAGCTGAGCGAGTGGAAGTAATGAGAAGAAGTGTGGTATAGTAGCAATAAGTACACTTAGATTATCTTAGAATAGATGTTTTACACTCTCAATGACACAATATAGAACATTTAGGAGACGGGCTAGACCTACTTTAACCAAGTGTCAGGACCAACCTAGGCTGAAAGGGAACAACGCCCCAGCAGAAAGACGGAGGTTCTCATTAAAAATTTCTCTCCATACGGGAATCGAACTGAAGTCTTTTGAGTGCAACAACAAAGCGCTTGACTCATGCACATAAAAAAAAACAGCCTGTGTATCATAAGAATAGTCAATCCATTATCAATTCATAAGTACACCGAATAGAGCTTTTTTTTTACAACCCGACTATGAAAAAAAACCAACCTCGCACTTTAGACGCAAGCCTTTCAACGCAAATAACCAGAATTTTCTAAAATTTGTACTGAGCCCACAGCCACGAGAGTGTGCGACGTCACGACACAGTACAGCAAGCCAGTCCACAGGTCACAACTCACCGGAAGTTCCCCCCGGTAGCGAGCGGCAGACAATGCAAAGCACAAGCCTGCTCGCAAGCCTCTGGCGCAAGCCGTCCACTGCTCACAGCCTTCGATTAATTGAGCAGACTCCAGCTCTCGTTTTCGGTTTAGAAAGGTTGCTCAAATAGAAGAGAAAAAAATGGGGATTTTCATTTTCTTTTGTTTCCTGCTGTTTTCAGATTAACCATGTTTGGTTTAAGCGGATTCCACTGTAAATTAAGTTTACGGACATCAGGTCATTAAAATCTCACCTGGCCAGCACAGTTGACAAAGTAGTCACACTTTATTGATCCTGCAGATGTCACCACTTCTGTGACACGTTGTTTTTCTGTTAGTACACTCTCTACAGAGACACCCTCAAATATTTTCACACCTAATGAGAGGAGAACAAAAAGGCAAAATGGCTACTGGTTACTGTTTTTTCAGGATTAACATTGTCAGGATCCAGGCACACCAAGAGTTGCTCCAGCCATTTTCTCAAAATCCATCAAAGGGAAGCAACAGGTAAAATAATGCGCAAAGCTGTAAATGGTCACTTTTATGGACAAGTGGGCTAACACAGATTTCGGGGTTTCCAGAAATCTTGACCTACACCAAAAGCGGGCATTGTCCTACCTATAGAAGAAGTTTGGTTTCATTGGTGAGTATATTTGTTTGGTTATTGAGAAAACTCCCCTTGTCTTTTAAAGAAACTGAACAAGGGGCAAAAACTTTACCTTCGATTTTCTCAAAACAGCACTTTTCGGGATAGCCCCCTTGTGCTTAAAAGCGACCAAATGTGCATCGTCAAAGTGGAATCAGGCACTTGTCAAATTTTAAGGAAGGGAGAAATCAGTATTTTTTTCCCAAGTGTTGGCGATTTTTACCAAATGTATTTTTTTCCTCAGAAACCTTCTTCATTTATTAAAGAACACATTTTAGGGTGAATTTACCCTCCCCCCCAAAAAAAAGTTTTTCAAAGCCAAATAATATGACAATTTGCAGAACAAGTTCTAGTAATTAACTTTCACAGTCACCAAACTTTGACGTCCACTTTCTTGCTAATTTCACCTGTAACAGCCGGTAATCCTCACCTTCCTACATTGATTGCATATATTCCTTTTTCTAGGCAAGATTGATCAATATTTTTCACCAAGGTAAAGAAAAATAATCAAGCTTCAATTTGATAGCAGTAACTCCATAAGCCCAAAAATTGACGAGCGCCTGGTTCCACCACGCTGTGATATAATTCTTTGCACAATATGTTAAAAACAAATATAAAAATCCAACTCTGATAATTTGTTTAAAATACACAAAATGAAATGATTCGAATTCAAGAAACAGTATTCTTATATTACATATGACAAGAAACAGATGACATACAACAGCCAGACAGGATATAAGGCTTTGATTTGTAGGCATTAACTACACCTTTGGAAGCAAGTCAGGTCCAAAGTGCACCAGACAGAAAAATCTAAGAATTACACTGGCAAACACATTGATCCACCAACATGGGATTTTGCACCTTTTCATTGATATCAAACACCAACATCAAAACTATTGACAAAAGAAATAGGTAAACTGACCTTGAATGGTCAATTAAGGCAGATTCACACAGAATGTCAAGTAACATCAGAACTGATTTGACAGTGTTGTATGTTCTTGAACATGATGTTCATCCTTACCCAGTTGGGTGTAGAACTACAGGTTAACAAACAGAATCAGTACATTATAAAATGATTGTATTTTACTCATGATAATTTAAGCACAATTGTAATATAAAGGCCAATGAGAAACAACATTTTTTAATGGGATAAAAAAAGTTGACTTCTTCCCTTTCGTGATGAGCAAAACTATTTAACAACTTCAGAAGACAGAGCAAAGCTCGTTTAACCAAGCTATGCCCTCTCAATCCTTAGAAACATAGAAGAATGTCCAGGTCTCCAAGTAAATGGAGAAAATATTAATAACATCAGGTATGCAGATGACACAGTTTTAAGAGCAGGCTCAGAAAAACACCTTCAATAGCTTCTAGATACTGTTGTAACAGAAAGTGAACGTAAAGGACTATTGTTGAATGTAAAGAAAACAGAATGCATGGTAATATCCAAAATAGTTGTAATCTCATTAGCAAAGGTGAAAAGATCAAACAAGTCCAACAGTTTAAATATCTAAGATATATGATAACATCTGATGCCAAATGTTCCACAGAAATAAAATGGAGAATTACAATGGCTAAGGCTGGTTTCAATAAAATGAGCCCAATCGTGGAAAATAGAAACATTTCAATGAACACCAGCTATGTTTGGTCAACCTATCTATATGGCTGTGAAAACTGGACAATCACTAAAGACTGAAAATAAAACAGAAGCAACAGAAAAGTGGTTTCTTAGGAGACTGCTAAGAGTATCGTGGAAGGAATAGAAATCAAATGAGGTAGAGCTTGACGAAGCCCACGTGGGACACTCAATGTTAAAAACAATCAGGAAACGACAAATGCAGTTTTTGGGACACCTCAATAGACATAAGGGTCTTGAACATCTAGCTTTCACTGGCAAAATTGAGGGCAAGCGAAGCAGGGGTGGGCCCAGGACAACATACTTAGGAAATCTAAACAAATGGGTAACAGGGAAAGATCAGGGAAATGTAGCTTTCTTGAGAGCATCCGAGCAAAGGAATGAAAGGAGAACCATGATCCCCAATGTCTGTCGCAGATCTGGCACTGATGATGAAGATAATGCCCTTTCAAATAAAATCCTAAGAGCCCTGAAAACACAAACTGAACATTGCACTCCTTATATCAAAATCATACTGAAATAAATTGATTATGAATAAAATAGCTTTGATCGGGGACCTAACAAAAATGTGAAATTCTATACATCTGAAAAAAAAGGAAATGTTTCCATGGTCTCACCTTTCTCCTTGGCCAATCGTGAGAGTGCCATACACACATCAGGGGCAGTCACTACTCCATCATGAGGGATCCACATGGCACCCTGAATAACAACTCGTTTTAGTCAGTCTACAAGTATTTACAAGATGGATTTTAGGACTGCTTCATTGACACAAAAACCTCTTTTTTTTCCTTCTTGAGCGATGGCATCAAAGAAAGCCATAAACACACATGTTCATTGCCTCTTTTCATCATCTCAGTAAGAGTAAATATGTCATAGAAGTAAATTGCAAGTACAGTCGAACCAGCCATGACGGCCACCTGTACAAACGATCACCTTCCATTTCCCCCCTTGCATTTTTTTCTATGTAATTTAACTGTGTAAAACTGTCACCTGTCCAACGTGGCCCAGCCACCTTATTTATCTGCCTCAGGCAGCCAAGCATGGTCACTGATTGCCAGTTGATTTGTCTTAAATTTTTAATTGGCCCCTCACACTGTGGACAGGCCTCATAATCCATTTACCCTTGTCCTTATTTTTAGTCCCTCCAATGAATGTTTACCCAAGTTGACCCATGGGTAGGCGTAACAATCAATTTTTAACAGCCGGTGAGGAAAGTGTGACCCATCTTAACCTATAAGCCCCGCCCACAACTAACGCACAAATTGTACGTGAGGTGACTGTTTCGTGTACCTAATCTGTAATAAAGTAACAATGGACGTTGACATGAACTTGCAACAGAAGCGTTGCTTGTCTTCCAAGTGGTGGCAACCCGTGGGTTTGTTTTAGCATGGCGCTCGGTCTTCATCATCTTACTTACATTTTTCTTGTATTTCACCATTGCACAAAATTAGCAACAAAAAGAAAGCTAATCAAAAAAAAAAAAAAAAAAATAACACAAAAAACCCTTCTTACACCACCCACCCCCCTTCTTCAAAAGACAACAAACACCCTTTTCAATTAGCCTTACAGTAGCCTAAAGCCTGAGAACAGCCCCGGTTTGGACCCCAGAAAAGAGTGATTTGCTTTCTTCATTTTCATCAGTCCTACCTAAGAGTACTAAGATTGCCACCTGTGTTAAACGGCCACTTTTCTCCTGGACAATGAGTGGCCGTTTTACACAGGTCTGACTGTAGTTTCTACAAGAATAAACTAATTAAATTAAATAAATTCCTCCTTTATTGATTCAGGTGGGGAGATTGGGTTTCAAACAGTATGCATACATAGTTATATAGATAAATACATACGATAATATATCAATGTTATTTAATCCAAAAGGTCATCAACTCACAAAAAGAAATTTATTTTACCATCTGAGACTTAAAACAATGGGTGAAAGGGCATTTGAATACAAAGGCCCCAAGATCTGGAATGCTTTTTGAAGTACTTTAAGAGAGATCAAATCTTTTGATTCATTCAAATGTTAGCTAAAGTCGTTTCTGTTTTTAAATTAATAAGATGAATATTTGGAGTGATTTTCTTTTAGTCAGAACACAATGTTTTATGTTACTGTTGTACATTGTACCGTATAGTAAAGCGCTCAGAGCCTGTATACTTTAATCGGGGTTGAGCGCTATATAAATGTAATTTGTTATTATTATTATTATTATTACTATCACATTATTACAGACAGTAAAAATGCTCCAGGCATTTTCACTTATAAATAATTTAGAACAGTCAGTAAATCAACAATTAAGATTTATTGGAAATCATATCATGTCACCCGCACACTAAACGTAGCCGACTACCAAAAGAACCCCTGTCAAAGAATTTTCAGAAGTGTCCTGACTTCTTATTTTTAAAACAAAAAGTACTCTAGACAGTTTTCAAAGCTTCTCCTCAGTTTGTTTTTCTTCCACACACACAGAAGCAAAGCACCTTTTTCAAATTTACAAATTTTGTTTTACTTTTAAATACTCTCCAACATTAAGAAACCTAAGAATCAAATAAACAGAGAGGAATTTTTACTCACAACAAGATCATCGCTGTAAATAACAGGGCATATTTCTTTTGCCTCCTTGGGAGAAATGATATGAGTCTCCACTCCCAGTGTCCTGAAATAATTAAGTAAAAACATTTTGTCTTATGAAAGAAAAAAACTCTCTTTATGCATCAGAAGTTCTCAAACCTTTGTAGGCTACAACAATGCTCTACTCAGTCTAGTAATACAGCCTACTCTCATAGTAACAAAAACTGAATAATGAGGAAACAAATAAAAACGTGAAGTGGCTGGGCAAAAGCTGCTCTGTTGTTTCAAGCCAGGCATCCGTAACCAAAAGAAAGAGTAAGTAGATCACAAGGCTGCATCAGCATCAAGTAAAGAAACAGACATAACATGGATGCTCTGAGGCTCAAGTGCTTAAAGAACTTACAAACACATTGTTTTGCACTCGAGAGGAAATTGTACACTGAAACAGTCAGCTGCTTATACATATACACCAGCAGTCCAGGTTCAATTTAGGGTTACCAAAGAAATATAAATCAGGACTATTGCCACACAAACTGCCTCGACAAATCCCACAAAACAAATGACTGCAGATAAAAAGACAGTAATATCTGATTACAGATAGACCTGTGCGTGTGTGTAATATGATTTTGAGTGCAAATAAAACACTTTTTCAAACTTACTGAGCAACTGAATGTTTTCTCTTGAAGTCAACTAATCTGTCTTTGGTGCGGGCAACATTGAGACTGCCACACTGTTTCCAACCTGAAATAGAAACATACAAAATTAATCAGCTTGAAAAAAACCCAACTCAAGTAAACCAAATAAACTGCCTAGGGGTGATTCAAAGTTAGATTTTTGATAAACAGCTTTTCCTTTTGAGCATAAAATAAATAATTATTTCTAAACAAAAGCATTCTAACAGCTGTAAGAACCTCAGTATTTATAAGGCTGAGCTATGGTGTATATGACCCTGGTTAAATCCCCAATGAGGTTTCTTCAACTTTAGTTGTTTAGGGAGGTTTTTAGGCTCTCCATTTACTTGGCTTCGTCTTACCATCAAGAGATGTAAATTCTAAGGTCCTGTTGTATTGAAAGGGCTAATGAACCAATTCCATGCTGCATACACCAAAACAGACCAACATACTATTTTTAACATTTCACACTTCCAAAAAAAATCACTATCAGAGAAGAAAACATGTGTATATTCTTCAACTGTGTTGGGACTTGTGAGGAAAAAATTATCAGACTTTTAGTTAAACAAAGAAATCTGTTAGTCCAATCAGTGGTAAAAGCATAACATAAAAACATGCCATGTAAAACACTCATAAATATTATCAACACAAAAAAAAAAACAATTCCCATCTTATGAACTCACTTGAGCCTATTCCCGTGTATTTACGGGACTCGCCGGCTGCCCGGTGGCTTAATCCCATGTATTTACGGGATGTGCTTTATCTGTCGATATCTCCAGTGTTTTCCGGTTACAAGCTACAGGAAGCGGCGAGCCAACAGTTGACCCACTTACTTCCTTTCCATAAAAATTTGGTGACATTTTTTTAGCTGTAACGGACAAAGTCAGTCACCCCCCGCATTGCGACAGATGATTTTATTATAAATAGGGTGAAAAAAAACCTGCGTAACCACCAGACTTTGCCATTTCAAAATATTGATAAATTAAAAACTATTAGAACAAATTCAATGCACTTTTCTTTTTCTGTAAGAGCATTTCTTTCTTTCTTCTGTTGCATTTTTTTGTTTTCAATATACCTCAAAACTGTCAGGCTGCAATGGTTGTTGGATGAAAAACAGCTCAGGCTCAAGAGAGTTAATAAATCCATAAATCCTTCATTCTGCTCATTTGGCTTTTTTTTTTTTTTTCAAGTGAACTCAAGACAACTTGTCCAATAAATTTTCAGTTAGGGCATTTGAAAAATGGATAGGATAGTACCCAGCCCATGACCCTCCTTCTCCAAGCGGTCGTATAACTTCATGCTGTAGTCCAAAATTTTCAGCTCCGTTGGACTGGCCCTCACCCGTCCTATGAGGCCAGCAGAGTGCCAGGTTGTGCCGCAAGTCAGCCTGTGGAAGAATGTGGGTATGTTAAGATCTGCATCCAAATAAAAAGAAGATAGAAATTATAAAAAACTTGAAATTTATAAAAAGTGAGAACTCCGAAGAGATAGTGTAACAATAGAAGATGAATAAACATGAAGTTGCAAACATTCCAGTTCTCTGGAAACACAAGACAATATTTTGGTAAAAAATCTCATTGAAATTGGTTTTTCTTTAAAAAAAGCTTTCTATTGCAGTGACTTACAGACATCAGCAGAGCTATGGCCTCAAACTTGAAGAAGCATTTAATATATATAATCCTTAACTCAATGACATTTCCAGCAGAGAGTTAAAAGAATTCTTTCTGCAATACCCTATGTCTTACGAGTATCTGCAAGCTGTGTAAAATTGAGTTTTGGGCATACTAAAATAAAATGATGCTCTCTTTCAAAGATCCATATATCATCAAACTTGTAGAGGACATAAATAAAACACCTGGAAATGCTCTCAGAAATATTTTATTTAACAAAAATCAATTTTAAAATTCCAGATTTGGCAAATCATCTTTCTGTAGACTGCTCTAACAGAACATACAAAATGCAAGCCATGGAACATGCTGTTTTTATAACTTTTTCAAATTAATTCAAAATCCATCGAATCAGCAATGCAGCTGCTGCAAAAAAAGTTACAACTCACTGTCCTTGCTCTAGCACTGCTACATCTGTCCAGCCTCTCTCGGCTAGATGGTAGGCTACAGAGGCACCAACCACACCACCTCCACAGATGACCACTCTCGCTTGAGACGGAACCTGGACATTGTTTGAAGTGTCTGACGATGATGAGAACAAGCAGACGCAGCAGGGACGAAGAGTTTTGGCTTTCCACTCTTGTTTTGAATTGCGGAAAGCATATCCATGCAATGTCTTTGACAAACGAGAATGTAACCGATGCATTATCTTGTGACCATGGATAACACAGAAATAAAAAATTCTATCAACAAACAACCAATTTTAGTCAGATCTCATGTTTGATAGAACTCAGTATGCGGCATTTATTGCAAGATATATCTTGTAATTATACAGATCTCTTGACTTCTTCCCATCACAAGATCCTGCGGATATATGAGAAAATTGCCATGATTAGTTTGACAAAAATAAAAAAATGATTAGTAGACTTCTAGTCCCCACGTAGTCTAAAATAATTGATAAGCCCCTTTTTCCTATATATAAAGAACTGGTTTTGATAGAAAAATGTTTTTGAAAAAGCCAAAGTCAGTGTAAGCTGACTTATATGATGAATTCTGTTTACATTGTTATTGCACTTCATCAGATTTAGGCTTTAGACTTATAAAATTGTCTACCATTTTCCACAATAATGCAGGCGCCCTAATTGCCAATTTCCATAGCAAACTCAGCTTATTATAATGCTAATATGCAGCTTTGAGGGACCAATATTTAAGCACAGCCATTTCATCATTGTTTATAGAATATGTTATAAAGGTTGCGACTTTTCTAAAAAGTCTTGAATGATAATGAATGATAGGATGGCCGTGAGAAAACATAGCATAGTAGTTTACAGGGGAGTTGATGTCGTCATGGGAGTGAAAAAATGATCTAACTCATAACCCAAGTTCAAGTTAACCATTGGGACCAGAAAATCAAGGGACATTTAAGGAAATCTTGTAAACTTTTCACATTTCAATTTAATGAAAATTAATGTTTAGTACAATGTAGTATAAATGGTGGTGAAAGGAGCTATCAGTAACGTTTACCGCACACTCACACGTATGAGTGTGTGTGTGAGTGTGTGTGTGAGTGTGTGTGTGTGAGACAGAAAGAGAGAGAGAGAGAGAGAGAGAGAGAGAGTGAGAGAGAGAGAGAGAGAAAGAGATGCACACTTCCACAGGCAGTAAAACTAACAATAATAGTCACTAAAAGAGAGCAGATTTCTGAGTCCGGTAAAACTGTCGCTTTTCCCCCATTTTCTCCCAATGCACAACGTCCTTCGGAAACAAGCTTTAGATCACTAAAAAAAATCCCTTAAAAAACCCCCTTCAATGCCGCAGGTAAATAGGCCCCTGTGCCAGGGGAAATCCCATGAACCAAGACTGCTTAGGGGTGACCCCACTCTACCTCTCATAACTTTTTTATTTATGATTTCCTCATGAATTTCTGCATGTCATGTACATTCTCCATTGAAGCACATTGTCTTCTATTGATATAATTTTGAGGACATTTCATTGAGAAATGAAGGGAGAAAAGTTGGAGTTAGTAACATGATGTCAAAAACAACACCATTAAACAACATAAATAAACAACATGCATTCAAGTAATGATAAACTGAGACCAAAAAAGGGGAATATGTTGAGTCACGTGTGAGTGTTTGCAGGTAAAGCGGAAATGACAAAAAGCTCAAATCCAACCTTTAACCTTACACAACACCTGTACAATCCATATATATATAATACATGTAAGCCCATCTATGTTTACTGCCAGTAAAACATTTTTGTGTAGCAGATGTGTAATCTCTTCGAGCTAAAATCTGAACCTAACGCTTTCAAGTGGGGAGAAAATGGAGGTAAACATAAAGGGAAGGCACCTCAATAATAATTACAAGATTTTAGCAGTAACTTCCCTTATAACTTTGTATCAACCTCTGTCATAGTCCCGTAATTTCTACGGGGCCATAGGCCCAGCACTACTATGTTCAGGACCGTAAATTCTACGGACACTGCAGTAAATAGGCATAAAAGTGAAAATCACAGCAAAAGGTATTTTTTTGACAGGCACATTTTAAGACAGTTTTTAAAGAGTAAAAATGTTATCTGGGACTCAGGACTTCAGAAAGTGAACGGAGAGCACATTTTTTAGACAAGAACATTTTTCATTTTATACCGCTTTTTTCTGTAACTATTGTCATGTGGTGCTCACGGCCCTTTGGCCATGAGGGGAAAGGAAAAGGAAGAAACAACAGACAAGGTCATTGCATTGTGATGTCACCGGTTCATTGAGAGACCGCGAAGGTCTATCTTGATTGGCTGTACACATGACTGTATTTTTGTGTAAAGTATCACTCGTGCCAAAACTACGTACTGTGAGACATCAGTTCAACTATTGCATACTTGCAGTCCACGGCTGTTCAGTTTCACTCTCCGAGCGGCGCACTTAGTTGTAGCCCGTCTGACCCTTCTGACCCCTGTGACCCCTCGCGGAAGGTAATAAATCTCGACGCGTTACGCCACTTCCACCGGCCTATCCCTAGATCTGACCGCTCCGCGCGGTAAGGGTACAATTTCCAGAAATTAACTGGAATTTACAACATAGTACTCCCTTTCTCCATCCCGTAAACCTAGGAGTGTTGTATACTAAATAAAAGCTCAGCATCTCCTCTATAACCCGCAGTTTGAAACCAGTTTTTATCTCGTTTTATACTCCCTTGGGATACCTATATACTACCACTGTTGTACAGCTCTGTGTTATTGAAGTTTTTGGATTTAAAAGAGAATTTTGATAATTCGAGCCGACAATTTTTGTTTTAACCTTCATATTTCTTTTTATAAATCTATTCTCTCCATTGTGCTGAAAAAATCTCAGAGTAGGAGCTAAATTTCCATGAACTAGCGCACTTTATGTGACTAGTCTAGTGCAACGCTCAGTGCAAAGAAAAACTCTGTGAAGCGGGAACTTGCCGTCTGACTTTCTTGTGTGTTTATAATTATTGAGCCTTTTAACATCAAAGATGGAACACTCTTATAACATCCACTTTGAGAATTTAAACAAGTTGTGTCGTACTTGTGGTGAAAGAAGTTTAAAAACTAAAGTTTCTCAGCAGCGTCGATTTTTGTGTAAAAACTTTAAGTTTGACTTATTGCAATATTATAGACTGAACATTGACAACGACACAGCCGACAAGCATTCCAACACTCTGTGCAGGAAATGTGGCTCGCGAATATACACACTACGGAAGCAAATTACAAATGCGGCTTTGAAGGCCGCACAGAAATGTGTAGAAGACAGTGCCTATGTTTGGTCGGCTTACGACGCAAGCATAAGCATTAACGAGTGCTCTGTGTGTGCTCGCTATGTTAAACTTAGCAAAGGGTGCATTAAAGAGCGCATTCCTTTGCTTACGGAAGGACACGAGTTGCGTTCTCCGCCCACCGCTCGTATGGCAGTGGAGTCTGCAAGCATAACGGATACGAACAAGGGGGGGAAATGCTCCATGCCACAATCGCCAGAGTGGAAAAGAGAACAGTCGGCATAAAAAGCAAACAAAAACAACTGAAAGCTGTGTTGGAAGCACACCGACTACAGACATCTTCAGATTTGAAGGCCGCACTCCCTGAGCCGGCGGAAAAACGCAGGAAAAAGTAAACAGGACTACAAGACGATTTAGACGATTCAGACCATTCACGGATAAAACATTAGTTCCTAAACAGTTTTATAGTAGTATGTTTATCAAAATATTGACTATAGTAACATCAATTCAGCTGTGAAGGTGTAAAGAACGGTCTTCATTCTCATGTGAAAAGTACTCGTGCGTTGGCTGGACTCAACTGTTTTCCCACTCACTGACAAGACTGTGTGCATTAATCAACAATAGCAACAAGACTTTTTGGTCCTACCTCATAAACGTAAGTGTGTTTGAAAGTTCAAAGTCTGACTGTGAGCTGAAAATGAAGACTGTAACAATCTGTCGGTCCATTTATTTTTAATTATTTTTTTTAAAACATTTTTGTTTGTAATAACCGATCTATGATGAAAGCCACTTTCCCCCTCTTTTAAACAACACTTTCTTTTACTTCTCCGTGATAAAAATAATACTGTCGTAAACTACACCTTCGTCTTCATGTGATCATTTGGTTGTTGTTTCATTGACTTTCTCGGCTTTCATAAGAACTGGTGTTGTTTTATGTGTACAAAACATAACATCGCGGGGGAGCCGCTGACCGCGAGGCCGAGTGCCCGCAGGTAGCGTAACCGGGGCGTGACCTCGTCTCGGAGGTCAGGTCGACCGGCAACTAAGAGATCCTGAGTGGAACAGCCGTGAGTCGGGGGTAAAAAGGACTTTAACTCAAGCTAACTATGTAGGCCTATTTGAGTTGAACTCAACATAAGTCAAGTAGGCCTATCCATTTAATTCTAAAATTTATTTTAAATAATGTAAAGATAAAGAAGAGGAGCGCTGCTGGAACCTGAAAACAAGATCAGCTTAACTGAAGATCAATTTAAGCTAGTTCAACACAAGTGGAGTCAACTATATAGGCAAAGCAAGATCCAGAATACAGATTAGCCTTGATCTAGATCTAGATTCTAGAATCTAGATCTAGAATCTAGTACCAAAGTACTCAACTGTAAACTTGTGTACAACTCTACTGTCTACTTGCCTACTTACAAACAGTTGAAGTTGAGAGAGACAACTGTTATAAACATGCACAACAGCTATGATAATGGTACAAGTTTGAAGCTATTTTTCAATAACCTTTCAGACAAGTCTACTATATCTTCAATTTTGACTTTTCTTTACCCCTCACTGCGAGTCTGCGGCACTGGCACTCAGCCGCACTGGTGCCCTCCAACTTCCAATGCCAAGGCAGTGTCCTAAGCCATCGTTTTACCCATATTTTGTCCCATCCGTATAGAAATTAGAGATCTGTGATCATGTTCTTTGCATCATCCAGACGGTATAAATAATGCAACCTGTAGATCTAGATCATTGATGAAGCGGCTCATGAGTCTCGGGCGACAGTAGTTACATGGTGAGGCTCTGTGGGTTTCACTTTCGTGAACATTACACACATCGCTCCGTTTCTATTCCGATTTTTGTTTTACATAAGCATAGAAGAAATTTAAAATGTACTCTCAGGCCATCTGAAATAAAGATTTAATTACTGCTACTACTACTAATAATAATAATATTGGGGTTTTTTTTTGTTTCTTGTTTTTTTTTTCCTACTGTCTTCCTTTCTTCTTCGGAAGAATAAACCGAAAGTCGTTATTCGCAGCGTTTAATTGATATCCATACCTTGAACCTATTGATAGCATTATTTTAAAAAAATATATAATATGTGCTTGCAAGCAAGACTGCCGTGTGTTCTTGTGTATGTGCGTG